GCACTGGGCACCAGGAACAAGTCTCGATGCTGGCTGTGCAGTAAAGAAGAAAGCCCTGTCCTCAAGGGGTTGGCCTGGCGGGGGTATGGTGCACCTGAGTGTGTAAGGGCTGAGCGTGGTGGCTCATGCTGGTAATTCCAGCCACTTTAGAAGGCAGAGATTGGGAGGGTTGCTGTTTTGAGCCCAACCCAAGCAAAAATTTAGTGAGGTTCCCCCCCCCCCATCTCAACAAATTAGCCAAGAATGCCCGTAATCCCAGCTATCTGGGACACAGATCAGGAGGATTGAGGTTCAAGACCAGGCTGGGCAAAAAGTTAGTGATGCCCCATCTCAACCAATAAGCCAAGAATGGTGGTGTGTGCTTGTAATCCCAGCTGCACAGGAGATGTGGGGAGGAGGGTCATGGTCTGAGGCCAGCCCCAAGTGAAGCATGAGACCCTCTCTGAAAAATAAAGCAAAAAAGAGGGAGGTGTGGCTCAAATAACAGAGTACCTAAGCAAGTGTGAGGTTCTGAGTTCAAATCCCCAGTACCACCGTGAAAACAAAACGGCAACACCAGACCCAACAGGTGCTGAGGGGAGAGGACGATGGGGGCTGTGGGGGAGTGACGCACTGGTCGGTTGTCTGCCGTGGTCTGTTTGGGACTTGTTCTGAGTGGGCACTGGGGCACCGAGCTACTTCCCTGGTCTGCAGGGTGGGACGGAGGCCAGCCCTCCTGGGGCCCCCACCAGGCAGAGGGTCTCAGGACGGATGGGACAGATGGCTCCTGGGGGCTGACTGTCTCCTCCCTTCCTGGGTCTCTGTGGTGCCCCCACCCTCACCCGCCCGCTCACGTGGGGACGGGGACAGTGGAGCCTCCTGTGTTGCCAGCGCAGCTGTGGGACGGACAGGAGCCTGACCCTTGCTCCTGGCACCTCAGCGCCTGGCTGCGGTGACTGTGCTTTGGGTTGTGGCGGGGGGTGAGTTTCAGGAGCCCCTGAATGGTGCCATCTCCACTCCTCTTGTCCTAGAGGCCACCTGGTCCATTCACTGCACTTGCCCCCGCGGCCCCTGCCAGGAAGTCCTGCCCAGCGAGGACGTTTTGGCCATGGCATTCTGAGGGTGGCGTGGAAGGCTCTGGGTGACAGGTGCCACTGGCAGACGCCAGGAGCTGTGGGACTATACGGTGGCCTCACAGGCTGCCCCTAGCGTCACGCCTGCCCTGGAGCCTCGCTCTGACCTCTGGATGCTGGGGCACAGCAGTGCCTTGACGTGGGCAGTTGAGATTAGGCACTGGCCCACCTTCCAGGGCTCTGTGGACAGAACCCACATCCCCGCCTATCACACCATGACCCAGTCCTGCCCCCACGATGTCCCTAGAACGCTCTGCCGTCCCTGATCGTCCACTCAGTCGACGGGAATGGGGACCGCACACGGAGCCTGAAGCCCACAACGTGTGTCACGGTCGTCCACGCTCCTGACAGTTGGTCACCCACAGTGCAGACGCCAGAGCTGTCTGCTCAAGGCCAGGTCAGTCAGTGGCCACAGTCCACTGCTGGCTCTGGCCCTGGCCCTGGCCCTGGCCCTGGCCACAGACACTGCGTCTCTGCACTTTGTGGAGGCCAGGCTGTGGTCCCACCTGGTGTCACCAGCAATGTCCCCACTCACCAGGCTTTTCTGCCAACCCACTGTGGCTTTTGCACAAAGGACATGGTTCCTGCTGGTGTGAACCAGGACAAGGTCAGGGGTTTGGGCCCAGCCAGGCCAGAGCTGCAGTCAGCCACCCCTGGGGAGGACTGGCCATGTGCCCCCAGGTGTCGGATACCAAAACCACACCCTGTAAGGACCATTTTGGTCACAGGTGGACCATTCCTGTCACCAGGACCGCTGGTCTCGAGTAGAGGTCCTTGGTTCTTAACTCCTGTTCCACAACAGCGGGTGGGTAACCCCGGGGACGGAAGACCCATGGGACCTACTGGGAGAAAGGTTAAAAGGTCAGCTCCAAGCGCGTGGCTGCGTGCTTCCTGCCCCTCACCTGAGTCCCCCATACCTGTCCTGTGGGAGGATGCTGAGGCCCAGCACATGCAGCCCTGTCCAAGCCATGCTGGTGGCCTCCAGGATGGTCCCTCTGCCTCTCTGCCTCCCTCTCACTTATGGCCTCTCCCTAGGAGGTCGGTGGTCACAGTGTTCAAGAGGAGGAGGCCAAGGTCCCCAGCAAGGCCAGCCTCGAGAGGCCCTGGAGAGCCACTGTTGCCTGCTGTAGGGACTGGAGCGTCTCAGTCAGGGAAGGGCTGTGTGTGTCACACCACTTTGTCCTCCACCAAGGGCCTGCTAGCCTGGACGGGCGTTTGCTAGGATTGCTTTTACATTTTTAAAGGTTTTAAAGGAAAATTACAGAAGGTTGTTTTGGGATCCTGCTTTGTCTCTGGGATCACGGCACACGGGTGCATTTGTTCATGTCCTGTCCTCTGGCTGCTGAGTCCCCCGACCGCGTGGTGGGGACGGATGACTGAGAAACTCGGGTATGTCGCCTGAGCCACAGGCAACGCTGACCTGACGCCCTGCGCCTTCAGCTGTGCATGGTGAGGCAGGCGAGGCCCGGAGGACAGGCCTCTCCCGGGACCGTGGGCGATGGATTTCACACACTTGGTTATCGTCCCCAGACTGTTAAAATGGGATGAAAACTCAAACTCCTTCCAGTGGGAGGCCTGGGAGCCTCTCATCCTCTGGGGATTTACAGTATTCTCAGGAAACCTGTGGGGAGCCCGCCGCGGCTCCCCCTCCTCTGAGCACTGCTGGTGGTCAGTCCCTCCCTCCCTGTCGTGGGAGGGGCGGGGAGGTGGCTCTGGGGCCTTGCTTGCCAGCCCAGCTGCTCCCTGAGGGTGGCGGGTTAGGTTCCTGCTGTTCCTGTGGGTCCCTGGCCCCATCAGTGTCTCTGTCCCCACTCGCCTCTTCCACAAGGGACTTTAGGCCCAGCAGCTCGTGGAGTGACGCCCGGGGCAGGACCTCCCTGTGTCTCCCCACTATTTACAGGCACATCTGGGGGCTCTGGGTGCCGGCCAGGGCAGGCAGGCCCTAGTGAGGTGTCTGAGGTGACGTAGTCCAGTGTCACCTGTCCCTGTCTTTCAGGGTGTGGCCCAGAGCAGCTCGAGCTCGAGGGCGGTGGAGGCCCCAGCCCAGGCCGCTTCTCTTAGTGCAGGGGCCTCCCAGCCCTTCTGTGTGGATGTCGTGAGGGCGACAGGTGCTGCTCGCTAGGTCGAAGGACACAGGCAGGGGTCACGATGGCGGGGCAGACTGGGTGGTCACAGGGGACAGAAGCCCCACACGCATTAAGGGAGGTGAGTGCTATCTTTCGCAGGCTCGGTGCCCTCACTGATGGAGACCAGTGGCCTCTGCACCCTGAGGGATGGCTCCCCCGGCGCCCTGTGCAGGCTCTGCCACCACTGTCCCCAGCCTGTGTGGCAGTGCTGCTGGATTCCAGGCAAGGCCACAGAGGCCTAAAGGAAACTGAGACCTTCCTCCCTCCTTTGCCCAGTGACAGCCCTGTTCCTTGTGTCCTTGTCAGGTAGCAGTGATGCCCAGGGAGAGGACGGCAGACAGGAGGGCTCTGACCCGGGACTTCCTCAGTCACCTCAGATGCCACCAGGGCCATCTAGGCTCCGTGGAGGCAGTGGGGGTCTCCCAGGTGGGAAGGTGGGTGGGACCGGCACTGATCCCTGCTGTGCTTCTCCCGTCCACTGTGGCACTGTGGCGTCCACTCACACTGCCCTCACTGTCCCCTGCTGCATGTTCTGCCCCTCACCCGGCCTCCCGTGCGTGGCACCTATGAGCTTGGCGTCTCCCGGTGACCTGAGCGCCTTTCTGTTGACTCGTCGGCTTCTTGTCCTTCAGAGACGCTGTCTGATGGTTGCTCATTTAGTTCTGACCCGGCACTGGCTCCGCTGTGGTCCTCCATGCTGTGGAGGAAGTGCCGTTCTGACTTCAGATCCAGGGTTACTCCAATCTTCTCTCTCCTGGCACTTCTTGAATCGTGTTTAAGACTTTGTTGCTTCCTCCACGGTTGGGGAGATGTTCCTCATGTTCTTTTCTCCTGACTGTGCTGGGGTTTGAACTCAGGGCCTCAGGTTTGCCAGGCAGGTGCTCTAGCACTTCAGCCACTCTGTCAGCCTTTTTGCTTCAGGTTATTTTTCAGATAGAGTCTTGCATTTTTGCCTGGACAGACCTCGGACCGTGATCCTCCTTATCTCTGCCTCTCAGGTAGCTTGAATTACAGGTGTGAGCAACTGTGCCCGACTTACACCTTCTTCAAAGCTGTACCTTTTATGCTTAGAACTGCCACCCAGCTGGAGTTGGTGTTTGTGTGTGGTGCAGGGTCGAGGTCACGTGGATACGTGGTTGACCCCGCTGCGCTGCTGCACGGTTTCAGTGGCTATAGATCTGGTGGGATGTGTCATCGTTTCTGTGTGTTTGCGCTGCCCGTGCGTGGCAGGGTGACGGCGCCCACGGTGTGTGAGGGGATGGTGGTCACACTGTGGGCGCCGCTGAGTCACTGGGAACTCTTGTCTTCGGTTTCTCTGTCGGTCTGACATGGCTCTAAATGACAAAGGCGCTCCGTCGGTTGGTTGTTTGTCCTGGGCCCTCGGCCTGCAGACCGGTGGGCACAGTGTCCCAGGCCACAGCACGGGCAGTAGGAGCTGTGCATTGTCCGTCCACATCACAGCGGGTCTTAAGATCAGTGGTGAAGACCAAACGGGGTTCTCGGGGATCAGGTGCCAAGGTGCCAGCTGCTTGGTTTTTTCCTTCATGATCCTACGAGCTAAGTGACAGCGTGGCCCCTTACTGGCAAGAGATCAGAACCCGGGTTGGGGAAGGAGCTCACCTATGCCTGAGCGGCATGAGGGCACTGAGCCTGGGGCCAGCGCTGTGCTCGGTGACGGTGATGGGTGTCTCATTTCTGTCTGTCCATCCTCACAGTCCTGGCCCAGTGCAAGGTGACCCCTGTGCTGTGCTTGATCCCACAGGGCGACTATGACCAGAGCAAGACGAAAGTGTTACACATGACCTTGAACCCCACCAGCGTGGCCAAGCAGCGCCAGCGGGAGGAGCGCGACCGTCTGCAGGAGGAGTGCGAGCGGCTGCGGGGTCTCCTGCTCACCCTGGAAAGGAGCAGCTCCGTCCCCACTGACCTGGAGGCCGTCGCCGGCCTGCCCTCGTCCAAGGAGGTGGCAGGTAGGCCCCCGTGCCCAGCCCTGGCGTCCAGCGGGCAGGTCCACAGTAGCTTCTGGGCTATAGGTCTGAGTGGACTAAGCTTGCTGGCCCTGTGGCCTGGAGTGGCGCACCCTCTCCCCTGGGGGCTGTGCAAGCCGGGTTAGTCATCCACGCCTGCAGGCCACGGCAAATGGCTCAGGCTCAGTGCAGAAACAAGCAGCTGGGATCTTCTCAGACCCCTTAAAACAAATTAATACCATTTATCAGTGTGCGTGCCCCATTAATCACGAGTAAATCCAATCCTCCCAGAAAGCAGGACCATCCTTCACGTTCTGAGCACACTTCACAGAGCCCCAGGGGCCATTGCAGCCAGGCCTGCGATGCCCGCACAAGTCACTGCCTCTCACCACCCTCTCCAGTCTGTAAATCCGGGTAACCACCCTCAGAACGTGCGCCTGTCACCTCCAACACAGTAGAGTGGCAGCTGGAGTCTGTCATGCCTTGCTTTGGAGAGTGTTGGGGTCACCAGGTCCTGCCCTGACTGTGTCACTCTGCAATGTGGATAAATGAGACCCGTCTGTGCAGAGGAGGGGCCGGGCAGCCCAGAGTCGCCGCACAGCCGGGGCCACGGGCGGCTGTGGGACGTGAGGTGCCCACAGTGTCCCCTGTGTTGGGAGGGCCACCCCCCCCACACACACTCTGGCCTGGTCCTTCCACAGCGGCTTGGAGCACAGCCTGGCTGCCCTGTGCCCTGGGATCCCTGACTGTTCTCCTCACCCTCGGGGATGTCCGCGGCCACTACTGCCTTGACATTTGATCTCACGCAGTCTGAGGGCTTTTTCCCTGTGATGTCCTTTCCCAGCTCCTTTTCCTGTATTTGTCACTTCTCCTGTGATCCTCCCAGCATTTCCCGTGACAGTCCCTGAGCTGGGGAGGGGTTGCTGTCATCTGTGGCACACATCCAGGGGATGTATCAGGGTACGTCATCCTGTTCTCCCACCTGGGCTTCGTATAGAACACCTGGGGACAGGGTCCAGTAGGACCCAGGGACCCTGGATGGTGGCCTATGAAGTGGATGGTGGATGGCCTGTGGCATGGGGCCTAGGAGTGGCCAGGCCTGAGTTCGAGTGGCACCTGTGCCCTTCCTTGTGTCATAGGCTCCCACACCTTCGGCACCTTGGCTGTCAGATTGCAGCTATAAAGCCTCTGCAAGAGCTGATGCCTCAGGGCCTCCCATAGAGCCTGGCATACAGTAGGCACTACATAACTGCTCATCGTCGGTGTCGTTACTGCTCCTAATCTCATTCCCAGCAAGTTGTGGTCCCTGGGACCCCTGGCAGCCTTGATTCCTCGCTCTAGCAGGTCTGCAGTTTGTCAGGGTCCTCATGAGACTGGGGGTTCCGCACATCACACTGGGGTTCAGGTGCAGCGGGGCAGCAGTGGGACCCTGTGCCGTCGCGTCTGAGGGTTGCACCTGTGGCACCGTGGCTCCCTGTGATGGTGCACCAGCTGTGATCCAGAGCACCACACACCTCCCCTCCACGCCTGGCCCACGCCACCTCGACTTTCAGAACCAATGTTTCGCCTCTCTCCGCAGAAGTTACGCTGACCCTGAAGTCCTGTGCAATTTTCCGTAGATGAGCGTGTGTAGATGTGTTAGAAATATGCCAGAGCCAGGCCTGGAACGGCCCCTCAGCTCCCAGAACCCTCACTCTTTCCCGCCAGAGACTCTGAGGGCTGCGCTCCTCGCACTTCTCAGTTCTCATGGCGAGCAGACAGAAGGAGGCCCCTGCAGCAGACGCACCTGCCTGATCACTGGCTCCCGGCAGCAGAGTCCCTCACAGAGTCCCCAGCCTGGCCCCTTGCCTGGACCACCCTGCCCTGCCAGCCAGACACAGTCACAAAGCATGCTGTGAACGAGGGTGGGGACTGCCAGCCCAAGAGGGGGCTTTGTGGCTGGCTAGCCAGGAGTGTCACCCTCCATGATGGCCTGGGTGGAAAACAAGGGAAGGGTGCAGTTCTCACATGATCACCTGCAGCTGGGGCAGCACAGGTCATCTTTCCAGCTCTCCCTGCACCACCAGGTCTTCTTCCTGACCTTGGCCGTGGTCACGAAGATCTGTGTCCTTCTTCCAGCCATGGCCTCTCTGCTGCTTTGTGCTATCTGTCCCTGGCAGGTTTAAGAGCTGGACATGCAGACATGGAACACCTGAGGTGAATCCTGACTTGGGGCTTGTTTGAGGAGACACCTTGCCACCATCGGGATAGCACGTGGGTCTCTGAGTGTATGCCCTTGACTGGCTTTTATGCAGTAAAGTTTGCAGAGCCTCTGAATCCCGGTCCTGTGTTCACCCGGTGCTGGGAGTCTGGGTGTGGCCAGGGTTCAAGGCCACAGCACATGGACTCAGAAGACAAGACTTGGCCAGAGGCATGGCTCAAGTGGTAGAGCACCTGCCTAGAAAGCAGAAGGCCCTAAGTTCAAACCCCAGTGCCACCAAAAAAAAAAAAAAAAAATGGGGCTCCATGTGACATGGGGAGTTACCAAGAAGCCCCCAAAGCTGCCCTTAGAGAGTCAGCGAGGTGGAAGGCGCAGACTTCGCCTGACAGTCACACAGGACGGGCAGCAGAGGTCCAGGCAGAGGGGCCACTGTGGGGAGCGTGGTCAAAGGTGGGAAGGAGGTGCGTGGGGCAAGGCAGCATCTGAACCCAGAGGGATCCACGTCTTGTGGACTTACGTGTGTGCTCTGCCCCACCATGTCACAGTTTTCCTTGAGGCTTGCACACACTTCCACTCTGGAAGCAGGGGCAGGGGAAAGGCAGGTGGCCGATGACTGAGCAGACTCTGTACCCGTGAGCAGTGAGGGCGGTCGCCTCACACCTTGGTCCTGGAGGGTCTGGGAAGGAGCAGCGGGCAGTCCTGATGGGGGCAGCTGGCTGAGATGGAAATCTGGAGACATCTGTGCTAGGGGAGTGGGCCACAACACCGTCCAGGTCTTCTTCCAACCAGAAGTTATTGCTCCCCCAAGAGAAAAAAGTCACAAAGCGAACCAGCCATCCACTGTCGTGGAGCAGTAATTCCCAAAGTGTAGGTACAGGCGGGGGGCAGAACCCCTGCTGGGAACTTGAGAGACACAGATTCTAGGGCTGCTTCTGACCAGTGTCGGAAGCCCTGGGGTGGACCCCACACTCCGCTCAACAGGCTGTGATCCTCACAGGTGCCCAGAGTCTGCACTGCTGCTCTGAACACGGCAGGCAGAGGCCCGGGCAGCGTGAACGTGACCTGGTGGGCAGATACTAATGGAGGGGACAGGCTCCCCTTCTGTCAGGAAGCACTGACAGGAGCTCCCAGCTCCACGGTGCTGCCACAGGCGGCTGGCAGGCTCTCCTGCTCGAAGGTCCCCGTGTGCCCTGCAGCTCCTGCTCCTAGTAGGTGTGGACACCTTAGGAATGTCGGGCATCTGAAGAAGAAAGTCCTCAAACGTGAACACAGGGTGATGTCCTGGAGGGAGCAGGCCAGCAGAGCAAAGGAACCTCCACACAGCTGTGTCCTGGCTCACACGCAGACGAGAGAGGCTCTGTGGTCACTACGAGGACAAGGAGCCCGAGGAAACCCAGGGAGAAGAAAGTGAAACCCAAGTTACATGGAAGTCTTAACAGGAGGTGTGCAAGAAACATCCAGAACATGTGTCCAGACACAGGAGGAATGGGGGGCACCAAGAGTACCGGTGTGGGGTCCTGAGGAGGCCAGGGAAGCAAGAGGTGCACAGAGCGCTTAGATACTTTTCCCAGAGTGGTAGGAGTGACTGTGCACGCACGGAGTCACAGGGCTCAGGATGTCGTGCGGATGACAGCAGGCCTCGCACGCACGGAGTCACGGGACTCGGGACGTCGTGCGGATGACAGCAGGCCTCGCACGCATGGAGTCACGGGACTCGGGACGTCGTGTGGATGACAGCAGGCCTTGCACGCATGGAGTCACGGGACTCGGGACAACATACGGATGAGAGCAGGCCTCGCACGCACGGAGTCACGGGACTCAGGACGTCGTAGAGATGAGAGCAGGCCTCGCACGCACGGAGTCACGGGACTCAGGACATGAACACAGATGCGATGACTGAACTTCCGGGCAGGAAAATCGCATCACTTGTCAGATGAGCCCTTCACAGACACAGGGAGGCAGATGGCGTGGGAATGACTGCAAATTTCTAACAGAAAGTCACTTGCAGCTTTGACCTCTGTGGGCCCCTTCGAGTCAAAAGGCAGAATTGTGTGCGTTTTCAGATGGTCTTGGAGCATTTGCCGCCCGTGCACCTTTTCTCAGAAAGGCAGTTGAGGGTGACTCCAGCAAAATGACACAGTAAGCCAAGAAAGAGGCTGTGACGTCCAGGAGACAGGAGGAAGGTCCCGGAAGACAAGCCTTCAGGACACTCGACTTTGTCAGGTGTCCCAGAAGGAGATGTGGACCAGTACCTTCCAGAGGGCATGCCAGGTGTGGGTGGCTACAGATACTGCTCCCCTGGTCCCCGGGCTACTACCTCCCCACCCTGTGTGCCAAATGTAACTCTCATGTTTGTTGACTGCCCCACAGAGGTGCGGTCAGGCAGGAGCATGTGGGAAACTGAGCAAGTGGAAAACAAAGGCAACTGTTAACTCAGGAAAACAGAAGGCTGTGCAGGAAGCAGAGGGACCAGTGTTCTCCAGGCCCACTCTGACCGGCACTTGCGTCTGTGCAGAACCAAGGCCAGATTTGAGCAACACGACGAGCTGATGGGTTGGAAGGACGAGCCAGAAGATGAGCGCGTGTGGGGTGGGGGAGGAGGAGCTGCTGGATCCTGGTCTCCCTGGAGGGAAGGCCGTGGGAAACGCCCAGCCATCAGGTGCAGAGGAGGCGATCCAAGTGTGCCCTTGAGGACAGAGAGTGCCACTTTGCATCCTGCACATGGGGCTGGAAGCAGTGCGAGCAGAGGTCTCTGGGAGCGGGCGGGCGGTGGGGTGGGGAGACGCTGGTCCCTGACAAGTCT